GGATCAGTATTTATCCCTGGTATATGAATGGACTTTGGGAGCCCAAACCATATAGAGGGATACACTCTCAGCCTCGACACACTGGAGATGGTCCAGGCCCTGCTCCAAATGATAAGACAGACTTTGAAGATCCCCCATGGAAGGCCTCACTCTCCCTGGGAAGCAGAAAGGGGATAGGATAGGGGGTCGGTGGTGGGCAGGGGAGGAGGGGAGAGAGAGGGAACTGGGATTGACATGCAAAACAAGCTTTTTTCTAATTTAAATTTTAAAAAGAGAAAAGTTTCAGTGGTTATGGTGTCTCTTCATAGCAATAAAAACCCAAGCTAAGACACACATACACACAAGGAGACACATAGATACATAGATACACATGTGTGCACACACACACACACACACACACACACACACCTTTTCAAAGCAAGGCATCTGAACTACAAGGCCAAGCTTTCAGTCCACTTCTTGCTACAGCCTACAGTCTTGACCTCACCCCCTTCAGGATATTCACCCTTCCTGGGCTTCGAACACCCTGCTTCCTCCCCAACTTCCTGGATAACTCGTATTTCTTGAAGGAAAACTCAGAGTCACCTTTTTCATCCATATCGTCCCAACACAGCCACCAGAGTGTCACAGTGAGCTTTTTTTTTGGGGGGGGGTGGAAGATTCTGAAAATATAATGAAAGCATGGCCTCCCTTAGCTTTGGGAACCAGAACTGGTCCCATCCTGAACTGCCTCACCCACCACCACAAATCCCTAACAAGGCCCCCAAATAACATTTCTATAAGATGCTGCCTCTTCAAAAGCATAACACTAGCTTGTGACTATGCCCTCTCTTCCCACTTTCATTCATCATTCCTAGCAATGCAGAAGACCAGCTCCTAGGACAGTCTCCTGTCCAGTTGACTCATCCTTGTGCCTCCGGAAGTTGAATTCATTGGGGCAAAGCTCTCAATGAACTCAAATGGATGGATGGATGGATGGGTGGGTGGATGAGTGGATGGGTGGGTGGGTGGATGGATGGATGGATGGATGGATGGGTGGATGGATGGATTACTCCTACAAGCAAGACTGGCCAGGAAGAGATCACAGACATTCACTAAGGCCACCTGTATGACTCTTAGGTCCCAGCCAGGTTATTTTATTCCTTTCCTGTGATCTCTAATCAATGTCCACACAGGGAAATGTCTCCAGTCACATCTGTTTCAAGTTAGTTTCATTCAGATGACTCTAGAACAGTGGTTCTCAGCCTGTGAGTCACGACCCTTTCAGGGGTTAAACAACCCTTTTACAGGGGTTGCCTAGGACCACTGGAAAGCACAGATATTTAAATTATTATTCCTAACAGTTGCAAAATGACAGTTATGGAGTTGCAATGAAAATAATGTTACAGTTGGTGGTCAGCACAACATGAGGAACTGTAGTCAAGGGCTGCAGCATTAGGAAGGTTGAGAACCACTGTTCTAAAGTAACCACTGATGGCCAACCACTCTGTCTGTGCATCTGCCCTGCTGGGGCCCAGTGACTCGGAGTGTGGGACACACTCCTGGGGACCTGCCTCTGCTCTAGGACAGGCTCCGGCTGTAGTCTATTCCATCAGGCATCAGGCTCACCTCCAGATGAATACTGACAAGACCTATTCAGAGAATGAGCTGCCCTCTTACAATACAGTGTCCTGCAGCGTGTGTCTTAAGGGGCTATTATTCTATTTTTGGATTTTCATGGTGCCAGCGTCTCATTGTGTCTCATTTTATGGCTTACTGAGCTGAGTTATCTCATGAAAATTGTCCAAGTATGAACTGCACATGCCTCTGAGACTCTAACATAGCTCCATCCCACCTTAAGCCAAGCAGAAAAAAAAAGCATCAGTTCTGTTCATTCTGGGGGTATGGGGGTGGGGGTACTTGAATACTGTCAGTCTGTGACAGAGACACTGGAAGCAGCCTGCTGAGGGTGCTGGCCAGCTGGAGGGCTATACGGCTAAACTGGGATGAACTGATTGATTTGGGCTGGGACACCATCCCCCACGTCTCATGTATCCCAGGTTGTCCTTGAATTTGCTATGTAGTCAAGGCTGACCTGGAACTGCTGATCCTCCTGCCTCCACCTTCTGAGTGCTGAGGTTCCAGCTGTGTATAAACCACCTTGGGTTATGTGGGGATTGACCCCAGAATCCCATGCATGCTAGGCAAACAAGCTACCCGTTGAGCTAGATGCAGCCAGGGTAGACCTGAATTAATGGGTTGGCGACGTTAGAGGGGAAGGGGAGATGGGGAGGGGTCTGGAGGGAGACACACACACACAAAGAGAGAGAGAGAGAGAGAGAGAGAGAGAGAGAGAGAGAGAGAGAGAGAGAGAGAGAGAGAGAGAGAGAGAGAATACTAGCTAATGGAGATTTGATTGTAGCCTTTGAAGAATTTCGGGAACAAAGCCATTAGTTCACCTTCAGGAACCTCACAAAACACTCTCAGATTCTACTTTCTGTAGTGGCTGAAACAAATCCCTAGGGATAAAAGGCAAACAGCCCCTGGGGGCAGCAGGTATTATTGCCCTTGTTAGCCCTGAGAACAATACAGAGGCTGTTTAGGGTCCAACAGATCTAGTGACATCAGATGCCCAATCTAACTCCATAGACACACAGAGCACCCTCATTTTATTTCCATTAGTGATGCTGCGCCTGGCTTCCTGATGCTTCCTCTGCCTTCAAAATTCCTCCAGATCCCCCACAGCGCCACTTCCTTCCTGCAGACTTGCATGACCCAATGTGGACCTAGGAATTTAGGACAGGGCCCCTTACTCTGAGCTTTCATTTCCTTATCCACCACACAACATGGAGATTGAATAAGAGCCATGTTTTCTACATCTCAGATGCTCGAGGAAACCCTCCATCATACCCTGATCCATTCATTATAAAAAGTAACTAAATATCTTCACTATAAGTCTAAACACAACAGCACTGTGTGACAAGAGCTCTGGGCAATGGACTGTCTTCAACATCTGTTTGCAGAAGAATGTTTAAATATACTCTGATGACAATTAAGGGTTTCTCCACAACACAGCCAGAAGCAATTACAAGAGTGGGGTAAGGGGAGCCTTCCTTACCTGGGGCTCTGGAATTAAGCAGAGGTATTGCTCTACCCCAAACCACCTACCTCTCACTCTACATTAGTGGCCAAGGCAGATTCACTGACCACTTTCTTTTGTACACACATAATAGAGAACTGGAACTGTCCTCCACAGGGCATGTATTAAAGGCCTTGTCTGCAGCCAATGGTGCTATGCTGACAGGTGACGAGGATTTCAGGAGGGTGACCCAAGCTGGACACCAGCCCCCTCCTCACTCTCCGTTGCCCTGTGTTGCATGTGTCCACTGATAGTGTGTGTGCTCAGGGCAGGCCCCAAATCAAAACCATAAGCTAAAGCAAGTTCTGACTCTCTTAAAATAAAAAACAGAGATCTATCCACTTGCCTGTCCATTGGCATCCTCTAGTCACAAGTATCATAAATGAAGGGATCTCAAGAAGGCACCAAGATGGCGGAGACAGAGCATCAAATGAGGTAGACGCCACCCTGGTCATTCGACTGGGAACTGGCCATACCACATCCCTCCACCCTGCCATCTGTATGCCACTTGCCCCTACCTTTTCCTGATTTTTTTTTTAAACAGAGTCATACTGTGTAAACCAGACTAGCCAGGAACTCACTATGTAGACCAGGCTGGCCTCAAACTCACAGAGACCTGCCTACCTTTGCCTCTCCAGTGCTGTCATTTAAAGGTGTGTGCCACCAAACACAACTGAAATCCTTAATTCTAAAATAAATTCATTTTAGATCAGCAAAATATCCTAGACATCCCGTGTAGCATATTTATGAGGCATGGGATGTGTATTATCCTTTGAATTATACTACATAATAAGGGTTTGTACACATTATAGTATCCACACATACACTTGTATGTATCTACAAAATGAACACTCATATACATAAGACCCAAATGAAATAAAATACAAAGTATTTAAAATCAAATGAAAGCCCCTATTTTCACTTTAAGAAAAAGATCTTGGCTTAAAATTTTATTCATATATACGTGTGTCTGCTGTGTGGATTTGTGCTTGTGAGCACAATACCTGAAGATGCCAGAAGAGGTTGTCTAATCCCCTACAACTGAAGTTACAGATGATTGTGAGCAGCCAGATGTAGGTGCTGAGAGCCAGATATCTCCTATCATGAACTATGTATTGCCATTTATCCAGCTATAATCATATTTTCAACACACATATTTATATTTAGGATTTACTTATTGTTACTTTGCAAGATGGGGAGGTATCGCCCCCTACCCTCAATCACATCATTTTGCTCAGCGTTAAGCTCCTGCTGGGAACCCAGCTGTCCTTCGCTTATTTATTTCTGCTGTGGAATGTAGGCTGAGCAAGTGTTTCGATCTTTACATGTTCCCTGTTGAGCAGAGCATGCATGGTTTCCAGTGTGTGCCGCGAACGCTCAATCTGTTTCAACGGCTTTACTTTTAGCCCAAGCCTACATTCCATGAGGGAGCATTTCCTCTGCAGCCAACAGCTAGAAGGAAACAGCTGAGTCACAGGTACCTCAGCTCTACCTCAGATGCCCATTGCTGCTCAAGCTGAGAGTGACCTCCTTCTCAGGGGAGAGTGGCCACAGGACCCCTCCTCCCCCACTTGCTTCTTCTCATCACACACGGCTGGCATGCCTGCAGTCTTTCACCCGTCGCCTTGATGGGTGTGAAATGGACTTTCAGGGGTTAAACTTTGGAAACTTTCTGGCATTTTTCTCATTTCTCTGTGGGACCCAGCATCTTTCCTAACGCCTCAGGTGAGTCGCAGGTTCTTGCATTTCGCCCATTGTCTCCTGAATCTTCTCCACCACAAGGGCACAGCAATTATTGACCTTTCACCCCTCAGTGCTTCTCTGCAGCCGCTGGCTGGCCCACTCTTGATAGGCAGGGAAAGAAGAAGTTAGCCAGACTTACCCTCAGCACTCTCAAAACCACAGCACCTTCTGCTTCCCCAACCCTGAAGCCAGCACCCCACACGCTAGAAGCCCGTGACTGCCGTTCCTCTGCACCCATGCGTGGCAGGCACTGAGCAGGACTCTGCAGTCTTTCCTCCTCTCTGGATGTGCCTGCATGCTTGCCAATATTCCGACTTCTGTCCCTCCTTTGCAGCTACAAAGCAGTGCACACAGATTTACTGGATGTGGTGGCTTGCGACTGCAATTTCAGCACTTAGGAGGCCGAGGCAGGAGGACTGCCAAGAGTTCAAAGCCAGCCTGGGCACAGAGTGAGACCCTGTCAAGGAGAGGAGGAGGGAGAAGGAGAGGAGGAAGGGAAAGGAAAAGAAAAGGAATGAAGCAAATATTTTCTCCACCTGAAGATTTCTTGGGAGCCAAGAGTACAGCTGTGGCTCCTGGCTAACTCTAACCTTTGGATTCTTTTGGCCAAGCAAAAGATCCATTTCTTAGCCTGTTTTCCAGCCATTTCCACCCTCTCCCATTTGAGGAATACATTGAACTATTAATGGCACATGGGGGGTTATGCGCAGATATAAACACCAATATTAAAACCACTCATGTAACACAGGTGCCGGGGAAGGGAACACACAGGCCATTAAAGAATCCGTTTCTCCCACCTCACAGCCAGTGCAGAAGTAAACAGCCCCGTATAGATGAAAATGGATGCAATCCCGCCTCACCAGGAACAAAGAACAGCATTGCAGACTTCAAGTCCCCACAGTATCTATTCGACTTCCGAGGATTTCAAGATGGGTTTTCATCATTGCTCTTTGTTCTAAGGTACAGACACTCTGGGAAGCTGCAATGTAGTGTAAAGTCACCTGCCTTTCACAGGTGGGTAAGGGATCGGCGCATGTGTGTGTTCACGTGTATGTGCTGGTACACCTGACGGTCAGAGGACCAAGTCTTCCTCAGTCACTCTGCTCTCCACCTTATGTTTTGAGACAGAGTCTCTCACCAAAATAGGCAGTCACCAATTCAACAAGATTAACCGGACTGCAAGCCCTGGGGATCCTCCTGTCTCTGCCCTCGCCAGTGCTAGGATTATAGAAGGATCCCACTATGCCTTTTGTTTGTTTGTTTGTTTTTTCACTTGTGTGCTGGGGATTGAACCTGAGTCTTCATGCTTGTGTGGCGAGCACTTTACCTACTGAGCCATCTTCCTGGTCCCTTAAAAGATCTTTTCGGTATTACCACTGGCCTAGCCACACAAAGGTGTCATTCAGTCTCCTGATACACAAATAGCAATTTTCCAGGCCACCCTCATGAGGAAGCTTCACTGGGTCTCCACATATTCACCAGGCGTCCAATTAGGGATGATACGTTGGTTGTGTCCGTCCCTGAAGCCTCCCTGTGCACACAGTCCTTAAAGCCTTACTGTGAACAGACAGCTGGCTCCAATATGTTCCATGACAATGGGGCTGAATGGGCCTGGCTTCACATTTCAAGCATCAGCAGGGAAGTTAAAGTCTAAGTAGCCTCATAACCATCATTTACACACTTTTCCAGTTAAATGAAATGCCAAAGGTCACTGGTTGAGAGGACAGCCTTCCCCCTTGAAGCAAAACACCTTGTATGTTTAAGGCAAATGCAATGGGCCATTTGCCATCCTCTCATTTCAATAGCACTTAGAAACAAGTCGGGGGTGGGGGAGTAATGGTCTGCAGGAAAATAGCTGTGGCTAGAAGAAAGGAAACACGTCCGAGGGTGACCTTAAACTCAGACAGTCTGCGTTCAACACGTTCCCCAAGAATGCGCTGCTTGCGGAGCTTCTAGACATAAACCATCGTTTCTGGGTACCTGCATTTAATCCTCTACAGTCAGCATCTCTGAACTTGACTTTGACAATGACCTTGCAGGTCTGTTGTGAACACAGGGATGGGCTAAAGTCTGCAGAAAGACAGGAGTCAGACAGATCGCATGAGTGGAACCCACCAGCCAGAAGCCTGGAACCAGCCATCATGGGCAGCAGACACTATGGCATGGAGTGTTCCATCTCAGATAGTGTTGGATGTGAAAGGGGCGACCAGGGAGTCTGAGGAGCCCAAGTGTGCATGCTCATGAGAAAGCTGAGACAGCAGGAACCTGACGTTTTGGGAGAGGCAAGGAGGCATCAGAAGTGTAGAAACAGACTTATTCAGCTAGGGTGGGGCACACAGAGTTAGGTCATTTACATAAATATTGAGAACAACTGAAAGTTACATGAAAATGCTCAGAATTTCTTTTCATTTCTTCTGCATAGCCTCCACAAATTCCCCCTGATGCTCACAGTGGTTTTAGCCTTTGAAATCAGTACACATCCCTGGTTTTATTTAAGCCTCCAGGACTTCTCCTCCAGGACTTCTTCCTAAGTTCCCAAATGCTAACTTGAAAACCAGCACTGCAGATGCATAGTAGTGTGGTGAAGCCTCCCTCCTGTGCCCAAAGACGCGTTCCACCATTTTGGACAGGTACTCCACAGTCAGAGGTCACCATCCACACCATCTAGAATAATGTAGATGTTCCAGGCTCCTAGAGCACTCTCCACCAGGATCTGTTCCATGTGGTTCATTTCTTCTGTGTTCTCAGCCCCCTGTGGCCAAAACAGAAGCATCTTCTAGAAAATGTGCTGGGCAGTTGACGGACACTAGCTGCTTGACTGGATTCTTCAACCTTCTGAAAGCCACAGCACCCACAGGTTGGGTGGTTCTCCAATAGCCACTGAGTGCGGAGGGAAGCTATAAGCTGACAGATATATCCTTTCCTTAGCTACTCTTGTTTTAGCAAATAGAGAGACGTTTCCAGAAACCCTAATTTTCACAAATTGCAAAAACACATGTCAGAGATGGAGATCGGAAAGGCAAGAAGGTGATTTGGTGGTCTGAAAATGCCATGCTCTGGTGGTATGCTAACCCATTAGTTCCTGTAGCTCCATCAGATGAGAAAGCAGACATTATCTTTATTATACCTCTGTAAAGGCCAAACTGCAGATGATGGACGGACAGCTGAAGGGTGATTTCATGCAAAGGATACATATCTCAGATGCTCGGCTGGGGCATAGCGGTGCTTGCCCTAAAGACGTGCTCTCCAAGGTGACTCTACTCTTACCTACTTCCAATCTGAATGATACACAACCTCACTTGATGTGTCTATGTAGATACATTACTACTCCTTTATTCCATCACCAGACACCCCAGATACCCTGAAAAGGCAAACAACAGACAGTCCCAAGCCATGCATATGTACATAGAGTCTCCCATACGCACCTATGAAGAAGCTCCATTTAAATCAGACACAGTAAGACATTAGGGACAAAAACTATGGACAATATGCTTTGACAAAATTTACGTTTTTTTTTCTCAAAAGCATCTTAATGTAGCAAGGTGTGGTGAGACATGCCTATAATCCTGAGGCAGGAGGATCATGAGTTCAAAGAGGGCCAGAGCTACATAGTGAGTCTGAAGCCATCCATGGATATAGCAATGACCTATCTATAAAGTAAAACAAAACAGTAAGTAGACAAAAACTTAATTGTATTTTTACTCTTACTTTACAGCTTCTTTGTGTTTATATGCCTGGGTCATGACTGACAGTAAGAGCTGCCACACCAAGATGGCTATTCTGATAACGGAGATGGCTACTGTGTGGATAACGGGCAGGTAGCACATACTTTGTGCATTCCGTGGATAAAGAGATAGCCATAGTGAGACTGCACAGGTTTTCATAAGATTTCATTAGGCTCATTAGAATGACCTGTGCTTTGAAACTTAGGCACTGCTCATTTCTGAAGGTTTCTGATCCATATCTTCTAGGCTGTGGCTGACCACAGGTAAATACAGCAAGTGAAAATGCAGACGAGGGAATTCTTGTATACCTATGTTGGGTTTTGCACAACCCACACATTTCACTTTGCTTTGGTCAGATGGGTGCTCATCTCTGAAGGTGAAACTGGATAAAGAGAAATGGAAGAGACACAAACCTAAAGACAAGTTGAGTATACTTCTCTCTCTCTCTCTCTCTCTCTCTCTCTCTCTCTCTCTCTCTCTCTCTCTCTCTCTCTCTCTCTCTCTCTCTCCCTCCCTCCCTCCCACAGTCCCTTCCCACTGAACATCTTTTCTGCTCAATCAGTGAGATTTGGAGTCTCCAGATCTTCAGATAAGCACCCAGTGTCTTGTAGTCTAGGCTCTCTGCATGAAATGTGGCTGTTCCTATCCCCGTGGGTTCTACACAACAGTAGGGTGCCTGTGTTTACATCTGACACAGTGGGAACAATCAAGGCTGAGCATGTCTATAGATCAGAAGTGCAGGTGGGAGGGTGCTCTGCTTGGAGGAACAGTGAGAAGCCTGTACTGGGCTTTCAGATCCACAAGCTGACTGCAAGCCCAGGACACGGTCCCAAAGGCAATGAGAATGTGCCTGCCTCTGGACTTAAGAGTCCAAGGTCTTTTGCAGGGCTCTGAATCAGGTGGTGTCTCTGTATCCACAGTGCTTTGGACCACCTGTTTTCCTTTCCCTTAAGGTTTTATTCACAAACAGAAGTCAGGCTTGAGAAGGTCAGCTTGTTACTTAGCAAGCTAAGGGGCAGCACAGACAGAACATGTAACCTTAGCTCTGAGGCTAGGTTCCAGTTTGCTAACATGGCAGGACAGTTATATTCAGGCTTGCTCTGGGTTACAATTAATAAATATAAATAGGGTTATTTAGTGACATGATGAACCATTTATCTCATCTCAAAGAAACCCTGATATGGGAAGGCTACAGAAGCCTAGGAATCTGACAAACAGTCCATCAAAGACCCAGATTCCCTCCATCTTCCTGCTCTGTCTCATTCAGATTCCAACCCTCAGTCACCTGACTCAAGGTCTGAGTCTGAGCCCAGTGACTAGGATGCTGCACCAGGCAGGAAGCAAGGAAAGGACAAGATGTGGCTTGGCTATTTGTATCTTAAAAGACGACCATCCAGAAACTTCTGCTTAGCTTTCAACAGAATATACTGGTTTAAACAGCCAACCATGACCAGAAAAGATTCGATGGAGAGAAGAACTGAAATGGACCTGTTGATTCCAGTACAAGAGAGAACTGTATTAGCAAGAAATGGGCAAGATGGATGTTGGCTAGGCAACTAGCAGTTTCTGGCAGAGTGACCATGGATTAATTCTGAATAATTGATAGCAAAGCAACAGGCAGTCCATCTGTGAAGACCCAGTATGAGAAGAGCGATTTTTAATCCAAAGTAGTGACAATCCCCATGGTCCACAAATGAGTTTGCTTTGTGGCAGAGACTGGAGAGAGAACCTATTC